CCCCCCCCCCCCCCCCGTACCCCTCTATCAACATGCCTCCGGCATGTCGAGCACAACACGACCCACCTCCATGCCTCAATTTTGAGAGATGATGAAGGGCGAATCGAGACCCCCGCTCGTACCCCTCTATCAACGTGCCTCCGGTATGTCAAGCATAACAGGACCCACCTCCATGTCGCCATAGAGGGCCAACGTTAAGCTCCTCGGAATTGGGGTAGCCGAGAGATAAAGCACGTGTTGCGCAAAGCCTGCGGTCGACGAAACGGAAGATGCATTACGGGGGGGCAAATATCGGGGAGCGGGCACGTTGGGGGGTTGCTGCGATAAGAAGGCGTTCGTTCTTTGAGGAGGGTTTGAGAAAACCTCATTCTCACACAACAAGCTTGGTAGCTCGTGTCCCCGTCTGCGCAAGGTGATCGATAGCGGTGTGCTCAAACGTCGATATAAACCTCGAGGTGCGGCAGGGATGGTGGCGCACGTCAACATGAACCTTGCTCGAGGGAAGGGCCCACCCGTAACGTAGCCGGTAGTGGCATATTCGGGAAACGGAATAACCTCTCACGGCGCAGGATACGTGAAGAAATAAACGTCTCTGAAAGAGCGCGAAAATGCGAGCGGCCGACTCTCACCCCTATGGTTGTTCAAAGCAAGGATCTACGGGACAGGACTGAAACGAACAAATGAGGCGCCAAGAGCGGTGGCTCAAGGAAAACAACGAGAGTCTCACCAGTCAGTTTGTCCCTCTGCTCCACCCCGAACCGCTGCTCCTCGTCCACTACGGCCAAGCCGAGATCTCGGAAAGCTGTAGACGCGCTCGTCAGCACCGCGTGGGTCGCCACCAGAATGTCCACCTTTAGGGGGGCCACCAAACGCCGGCACGGTGGTACATCAGGAAAGTAGTCAAGTGTTTTTCCGGCCTCGGTGGGTGGTCCCAGTGCTGACGGTAACTACCGGCGACCATTCGGTAGTACCGGGGACCGCCGACGGCGGCACCGCCGAAACATGAAAAACCGCTTGCCGCCGAAACAGTACCAGCGTATTTGCAATACCGCCCCCCTGGTGTCCTCCCACAAAACGGTACCGACGACAGCCCTGGCAACAAGGGGAACATGACAAGTCTTTGACCAAAATCTTCGTGGGTTATGAGAGCCGCCAAGACAAAAAATTATGCACTCTGCGCCATCACTGGGGAGGAAAAAAAACTGACACGAACACGCGGCATGGAGGGACCAAGCGAAACCATAACGAGGGTTGTGGTTGGTGTACCCACGCGAAGGTACCCGTGGGTAAGGGAGCTCTGTCACAGTCGCATGCCCCCCTCCCCCCGCCTCTCCAGCAATCTCTCTCATCCGCAAGATACCGCGTGCAGCGTGTTTGTCTTGCAACACAACCCGAACGACCCAACCGCACGCACCTCCCCAGCCTTGACGTCGTTCAGCAGCTGCTGCCTCGACTTTCCCTTAACGCTGCCCGTCAGCAGCTCCACCCTCAGGTTGCCCTTTCCATCCGGCCGCTCGATGCCCTCGGCCATCGACCTCAGAGTCTGGGAGCACAACAGTTCGTCGCAACAATGAGTGGTTCTTGCGTTCAAGAGTTCGGGTGAAGCCTGCCAAAAAAAATTCAAAACCCCTCATTGTTGTTGCCAAATAGCACGAAAATCACCGGGTGTTTGTCGCAAAAAAAAAGTGGGCATTGCCTGCGCCGCACGAGCACGGTTGAAGCCTCCCGCAAGACATGTGAAAGTACCCTCTTGTTGATGCTGCTGTTGCTACTGCCGCCGCTGTCTTGGCGTGGACGAATGCTTTTGATCATCTGCCCAGCAGTGGTATGCCCTCGCTGCTGTGGTCACCCTGCTTGCAAAGGAAACGATCAGTGTGGCCCGAAGGCAAAGGAGAAGATTGCGGCTACAAGGTCTGTGTCACGGTGTCAAACCGAATGAAACCCTTCCAAGCGCTGCTACGAGACAGAAGACGTGCTGGAACCGAACCACCGCAGACACATGGCCAACAAAACGACCAGGGTGTATGTCACCTAGGCGACGCTGAGTCAGGAGTCACACGTTGTAGGGGCTCGAAAGCACATAGTGCCTCAACACACCCAAGGCTCTAGGCCACCCGGTTTACAAACCAGAGAAGCTGGTCGGCGCAGAAGCGGCCGTGATAACTGGCGTGATTTCATCGCTCAGCCGGAAATATACCGCGGTCGATGTCAACAACAAAAAAATACACACACACACACACACACACAAACACACAGCACACACCAATAGGCCACAGCAACCATTAATGGACCACATCAGGGGTGGAACGAACGTATTACCACACACACCTGTAGGTGTTGCCCCGTGAGCACCTCGGTCGGGGCGAGCATGCACGACTGCGACCCCTGCCCGGCGGCCCTCAGCATCGCCAGGAAGGCCACCGCGGTCTTCCCCGACCCCACGTCGCCCTGCAACAGCCGAAACATCCGGAGGCTGCGGCAGCTGCCGCTGCCGTCCATGTCCTTCAGGATCTCGTCGAGAGCTGCAAGATCGGCCGGGCGGAAAAGATAAAAGTGACGGGCGGGGGGGGTACCCACGTTTTGCATGCCTAATTAATAGACCGTTCACAACGCGCCGTCCAGAGGACGGATGGAGCATTTGTTCCAACGAGAACGATCGCCGATGGACAATCAGTCCTTCGTACTTTGCCGAAGGTGGCTCAAAAATGGGGGGAGGTGGTTGTGGCCCGCGGCACGTCCGGCCAGCACAGAGAGGTACGCTCGCTGGCAAAGCAAGGCGGCAATCGAACGAACCAAGCGCAGACTCCATGTGTTGGAATGGATACGGCAGGGGCAGGAGTGGCGAAGGGATGGCCTGTTGTCTTCGGTTCTTTGGTATCACACGAGCGTCACTCCAAAAAGACGACACACTTCTCACGGAGCAACAGACGCACGGAGAGAAGACTTGTTCTAGGCCAAAGACAGCACCAGAAGCGGAGAAAACGCGCACCCGAACCAAGCAACCCCCGGCCACACCTCTACAACAGACCCCACCCCCTTGGTTTGGCACAGCAAGCGCAAGGATGATGACCACCTTCTGGTTCATCCTGGTGAAAGATAGCCCGGGCCGGCGAAAACCCGGCATTATTTGCAGCGTCCCGGTGTTGTAGGGATGTGAGGTCAAAGGTTCAACGATGACAAAATGCGTTTACATTAGTACACCCCACGCGGAAAATCATCCAACAACTGAGTGCTCATGCCGAACTGAATACCCCCCCCCCTCCCCCCCGGTGTCTGCCATCGGGGTTGGGTTTTCGTCGCTTGGCAACGACCTTGTAAAACAAGCCGCCCCCCCCGGTGTTTTGCCATCGGGATTGAGTTTTCGTCGCTTGGCAACGACGTTGGAAAACAAGCCAATCCACCTCGTGAACTCGGCAACCAGGTTACCGTTTTCTTTTTTACCTCCGGTTTTTCTTTTGGCGGTAACCATAATGGTGGTCGAGTAGATCATGTTGTGCGGGGTCGAGAATCCTCACTCCGCGCAAAGGGGATGATCGCACCACGTTGTGCGAAAATGGTCAAACACCCTCGAGGCAGTTACACAGTGTTACAGCTGTCTCAGGAAGCGAAAGCACCAGAAAATGAATTAAGTCATACGCAGCTGTCATCCGTACGCAAGGAAGTAAGCACAAGATGCCGAACACCCTTAGCAGGATGCAGCGCACCTTTCATGCGACTCGCCGAATATCTCACGGCGCTTCGCGCTTGGTGATGTGAGAGCCTGGTCCGGTGAGAACCCGGCGTGCTCCGTCCCGGCTTTGTAGGGATGCGAGGTCAATGGTCTAACGACTACGGCATGCACGACTATGAGTACCCCCCCCTCCCCCCCCCCTTAGCTCTTCACTTTATCGACGCACCTTTGTTTTGACTCGAAGTGAGGTCAAACGGTAATCGCCGCCGTCCCTCTTCCACCAAGGCCGCTCCCCCCGCCCTCGCCATCTCGCCAGTAGCGGCAGCAGCAGAGCCGTCTCCCTGATCCCCTCTACCGCCGCTAACGCCGCCACCAATGCCGCGAGTGTGGCGTCTCCTGAGCGCGAGAACGATCTGGCTGGCGAGGAGCTCGTCGTACGCCAGGCGAGATCGGGTGGCACCGGAAGGTCTCAAGTCTTCCTGTTTCGTTGTAAAAATAAATTGCGGCGATGTTTTAGTGTGTGGTTATAGACTAGACAAAATAAAGTAGCGTCCAGCGAGCAAAGAGGTTCGATAGCACGAGAGGAGGGAGGTGCTACCGCACAAAGGGCGGCCGAGAGAGGGGGACGTGTCTCGTCAGACATTCTCCCGCCAAATGCCCAAGCGGGGGAGGATCAACCAAGCCGTCCATAACCCCCCCCCCCGCTGCC